AATGCAACATAATGAAGTTTTGAGTTGTCACATAACATGTGGGGGAGTTGTACTGTCAACTAATTATCTTTTAAATAAGGTCCTCAGAAAAAAAAGAAAGAAAAAAAAGACACCATATGAGTTATGAGAAGGACAAAATCTTCCATTAAATACTTGAAAATGTGGGGTGTCTTGAGAAGGTAATGTCCATATTACCAAAGCAAATGAAAATGAGTCTTAAACGATTGATTATTTTTTCTTTGACTATCCTATTGTCTTAGAATGATAGACCGATGCTAGTAGAATTTGATATTTAATATATCAACGACACAAGTGAATATGTTTCATATGAGGAGGAGAAATCGTGTCCAAAAAATCCTTAAGAAAACGATTATAATCATATCTGTAATAGAATCTGAGTCTGTAATTTTAGATAAGTCTAGAGAATAAGTTGAATAGCTTTGAAATTTCTTGGATGATATTTTTGAATGGTTGAAACATGTGCCCATGGTATGTATATATTGTGACTAGTATTGAATTTCAAGTATAATGGTAAGTCGAGACATGTGTGTCGTCAACATAATACTATAGACAACTGATCAATGGAGTTATCTATATTGATTTTGTAAGATCAAAAGATAACATTGCAGATTCGCTAACCAAAGAGTTAAATCGAGATCAAGTTGAGATAATGTTGCGAATTCGCTAATAAAAAAGTTATATCTCTGTTGTTTTTTCCGATTTCTTTTAATGCATCTTTTTCTTAATTTTTTTCTTAATTTTTTCTCTTATAGGGTTTGGTTTAGGGATGTCAACGGATCAGGTTAGGGTCAGATTTTTTGTCAACCCGACTCGAAAATGTGTATCCTCCACCTGAACCCGATTCGGCCTGATTCGATCCAAATTTTTAGAATCTAAATCTGATCTAACCCGATCCATTATAAAATAAAGATTTAATTAAAAAATAATAGTTTTTTCTAAAGAAATTATATTATTATCCTCAGGTTAGATCGAAGTTCTTTCACCCTTCATCTGAACCAAACTTGACCTCACCCTTTAAGATATCCGACATGAATATAAATTTCTTTTAAAAAAATTCAATCCGATAAAATTAGGTTAGATTAGAACCCATCGGATTTGAGTTAAATTACCATCCTTTGGTTTAATGAAGACTTGGGTTTAGATGATTGTTGGTTTTCATATGCCAATGGTGAATGAGATGAAGGTTTGGGCGAATGACAGCCTTAAAAGGTTCATCAAAATCAGTCCCAACATTTATAAGAATCGATGCTTTTGTTTTTATTTTTTTTTTACTATTTCTACCTCAATATTTTATTTTTTTAGTTAAAACGGTCTCTATTATATGAAAATTATTAATTGACTAATGAACAACATATATAATTAATGTGACATTTTTTCATGTGTTAAAATAATGATGTGTTATAAATCATGCTACTCAAGGTGATGACATGCCATAGCTATATCACCTAAATTGATTACGTCGTGAAGTATGTGACACATCACTTAAGATTACGATATAACATGCTATCTAATTCAAGATAAAGATGTGACATATATCATATCACTTAAAATAATAATATGATACATACCATGTCATCTAAGATAATGACATTATATATATCACATCATCTAAGATGATGATATAACATGTTATATCATCTAATGTGTTAATGTATTACTTAATACATCAATAATAAAATAGATATAAAAATATCATGTCAACAATATTCCTTGATAATTAGTCAATTAATGTTTTCATCTAACAAAAATAATTTTAACCAAGATTTAAAATATTTTCCAAAAAATACATAAACTAAAGTAATCATTCTAATAAATTATGAATTAAATTGAACTTTACTTGCCAATGGGGTATAATTGACTCGTAACATCATATTGTCACTTGTCAACCGGATGTAATATAATATAATTTAAATATAACTTTGTCATTGTCATCATCTCAAATGTAACTTTATTGTCAATCGGGTTTAACGTAATATAATATAAATATAATTTATCATTATCTTGAATATAATTTTATCATTAAATAGAATTTATTAAGTAGCACAATGATAAAAAAATATTATTATTTTTAGAAGTTTTGAGTTTAAATAATTACATGTATAGTATATGAACATTATTAATTAATTAATTAAAGAAAGGTAAATTACATAAATAATTAGTAATGTTTGAGTAAATTTTTATTTTCTCTATTAAAATTTAAAAGTAATAAATTAGTCACTAAAATTTTTAATTTGTAACAAATCAATCACTTATAGTTAACTATCAATAACTATCATTATTGAAGGGACGGAATGGTGATATGTCACGTTAAAGATTTGATCTGGCATCATTTTGCCACATAAGACAACCACGCATACTAGGTTTGACTCTCTAAAACTATTGACCGTGACTCGCAACCCTAAAACCAATTCCCGCAATCTCAATGGGCGAGTGCTCGCTGTACCCTCTTCCTCTGCTCCGACAATGATACTCCAATGCCTCGATGTACTCAAAGCATGACAAGGCGTCGGCTTCCTAAATTCCTAATAACAAAGTATTGCCAGTCGATGAAACCTTCCACATTCTCCCACATCTTGATTTGTCTAAAATTGACAAACAATTCCAACTAGGACTCCTTATGCTCAAAATTAGGCCTGTAAATGAATTTAACGTTCAACAACCGTTTTTGAATCGTGCGGCGGGAAGTTTGTTTATGTTCGTTCATTTATTAAATGAACGAACATGAACAAGATTTTACGTTTGTTTAATTATGATTGTTCATTTATGTTCGAACAGAGGGCAAATTAACTTTATTATATTACGAAGATTATTGAAGTTGTTTGGATTTCAAGAAGATTGTTTTATTGAACAAATTAACTTTAAGACTTTATTATGTTCATATAGTTTATTTATGATTTATGTATGTTTTTGTCATATTCGAACAAATTAACTCTAAAGTTACATGTTATATTAATGAATTTTTTGTTGTTATTCTTGTTGTTTACTTTTTTTACATTCATTTGTTGTGTTCGATTAAGTTTTTTTTGTGTTTGTATTGTTTGTTTATGTTCGTTCGTTTGTGTTCGTTTATCATTTAAATGAACGAACATGAACAAGCTATATTCCTTAATGAACGAACATGAACGTACCTCCATTCGTGTGTTTTCGGTTCATTTACGTGCCTACTCAACATACCAAGAATTTCTAATCTTCGACCCCAACAACAATCAGCTGAATATAGCACCAAACTTGATCCAGAAATAACAGCGGTTGATCTTTGGGAATAAAAGCAAGGCGCCGATAAAGCTTCCATCGACGAAAAACCAGAAGAAGACTTGGTCGAACGAGCAACTAACCAGAAAGAAGTACTTATGAAGCTGCTGCACCTGACATGGATGAAACTAAAACTGAAAAAAACTGATTAAGGAAAACGAGAAATCCCAGAGAAGTTAAGAACAATGGCGATGGCTTGGAAGACAATGGACGTAAGAAACAAAGCAAGGAAACAGACATGGATCATGCAACCAAAGTTGAAGAGAAAGTGAAGGGAAACAAAGAAAGGGGGAAGGAAGATAAGGCATTGATAATTAATATGGGGATAGCTGTTTTTATTCTTATGCAGGGGTAACCCACACAGAGCGAACAAGCAGATTTATCCAGCTAAATTACACCAAGAGGTGATCCACTGGACAATGTCAAAACTAGGAGACCGGGTTTTCTTCATTTCTCTTTACTTTATTTGCTTTTTCTTTAACTTTCTATAAAGAAATCAATTTTATTAGCAGCCAAACAATGAATCCAAGATTTGCATGGGGAGTTTGAAATGTCAACGGAAAATTCAAGGCTTCTTACAGCTTCTGTTTTACTGAAACTACGGAACACCCAGACCCAGAACGTGAAAATGGTGATTCCCGTGGTTCGCGTTTATAATAATAATTTTGAACTAATAATCTTTTGGAAGACAAGGACATCCATCTCATTTCATATTACGTATTAAAGGCTTTTAGATTATGGATGAATTCTCTGTTGAAAAAAAAAGTATAGATCTTATCTTAAAATGATGAAGTACCAGGCAGTAAATGAGTTCCGGTGAGAGACTTTTGCGTTTTGCATGTTTTAAAAGATGAAGAAGAAGACGGTGGCAGTGGCGAGTAAGGAGGAAAACTAAGGGGTTTTGGTTTGGCCATTACTGACGGGTCAACGGTTTAACTAAGCGGTAAACGGTCTAACTCAGCATTCCGTCACCTTCGGTAACTGTTAGAGTGACTGATTCGTTATAAATCGATAACATAGTGATCATTTTGTTACTTTTGAAACTTCAATAAGAAAAACGAAAAACTTATTCAAACATTAGTGATCATTTGTGTAATTTACCCTTAAAAAATTATTAACAAATGTTAACTTGTAATCACCCAAACTATTAAAAGATAATATATATTCATAATTTTTCTTATCTATTGATAATATATATATACCTTATAAACATAATTGTTCGAATCCAATACTTTTAAAGAGAATAATTCTCTCCTTGACCATTGAAATCAATCGATGAGTTGAAGGTAAAATATAAATATATAAAATAAGATGTTTATAAAAAATAAAAGAGTATGAATGTAAATAAAACACTGATATTGAAAAATTATTAAGTTTAATTTGTAAAAAAAATGATTGAAGGTATCATCTTATCTTAAAATAAATAGTTTTCTCATTACTTTTTTAATTATATTAATTTTACCTTTGTTCCATATGATATTGGTATAATAATTCACAACGTGAATGATAACGATAACGCAACAGTACAGAGAGATTGAAATATTTTTTTCTAACTCTTTTAAAGTATAATTGATTTTTTTTTTCATGAAGGTAAACGCTTTACTTATTTTTCAAATTGAGGATCCAAAAAATATTTATATTGTTTTGTTAATTTTTTAAAAAAATTATAATTTGATAATTCAGGCAAAGGTTTACATTTATTGCTTATTTAAAAAATAGTAAAAATATACATTTATGAATTCTTCTTCTTTCTTCTTATTCTATCACTATTATTTTCTTAAATAGTACAAATGTATATAGGATTCCATAGAAATATTGGTGGCATATGGACGAGGCAACCTCCAATACAGGGCAAAAATTAAAGCAGGTACTTCAAATCAAACTAGAAGCAGCCAAGAGGCAGAAAGAAGGTGAACACACCGTCCAAATGGGAACGATTCCTTTCCCGGCAAGGAAGCAAGGAACGCATGGTTACAGTTTCAGTCATCCGCAAGTTCAATAAGCTGATCAACAACACCGGGATCAGCCAGCGTGCTCGTGTCTCCGAGTTCATCCAATTGTCTAGACGCTATTTTCCTCAGAATCCTCCGCATTATCTTCCCACTCCTTGTTTTCGGCAGGCCAGGTGCCCAGTGTATTTTGTCAGGTGCTGCAAATGCTCCTATCTGCAAGTCACAATGTCGATTTCTCCTCATTACCACTGCATCAAACACCTTTCAACCAACCGATATTTATCTAACCGGGATGTAAGGATACTGCTAGTTACAGGAATAGTCTAAATTTTCATTTCGACAACTCAATGTTAAGGGACAGTTGAGATCATAGCATACAGCTAAATTCCTGATTGTTTCTTTCCCAAGGAGTAGGACCACACACTCGAAAAAAATGCCACGACTAATGGGAATAAATTCTAACCTGTTTTCGCACAGTGAGTATAAGGCTCTTTCGGAGTTCGTCGCTGTAAGAAATGCCTTCCACAGGAGTTACAAAGGCATATATGCTCTGCCCTTTAACCTAAGGCCAACAGAAAATGAAAGCTTAGGGAGTACTCACCACAAGCATGTCTCTTGGCTACTTGATATATAATGCATCAAGCCCCGTTGCATACCTCGTGTTCGACACCAACCACAGCAGCTTCTGCACAATGAGGATGAAAAACTAGAGCAGATTCCACCTCAGCTGTGCCAATACGATGTCCACTGCGAATATTAAGATAGTATCACTGACAGTTAGTAGGAAAGAAACAGACGTGGAACCTTCAACATGCTGACTAGTTTCGAGATAACATACCTAACATTAATAACATCGTCGACTCTTCCCGTAAGCCAGTGGTAACCATCCTTGTCCCTGAAACAAAGATAACAATAATGTAGCACTCATGCAGTTAGGATGCAATCACTGAATAAAACTAAAGGGGTGGCTTAGAATCATATGTCGTACTCGTATGCTGATAAAAGTGCAAACCAATGAAATGGGAATTTCGGTGTATACCAACATACCTGCGGCAGCCATCACCAGTAAAATAATACCCAGGGAATGGCTTAAAGTATGTTGTCTCGTATCTCTCATGGTCACCATAAAGAGTTCGAAATGCACCGGGCCATGAGCTTTTCACACACAAGTAACCATTGCACTCACCGTCAAGCTCAACTCCTTTCTCATCCACTATGACAGGCTGCATTTATACAATAAGAAGATATTAACGTAAAGAGGGGGAAATGCTAATTCTCTGTAACTGCAGTGTATTAAACCTGAACTCCGAAGAAAGGAAAGGTTGCAGAACCAGGCTTCTGTGGCCAGGCCCCCGGTAGAGGAGTAATCTGCCAGTCGAGACAGAAAACAATAATTAAAAGTTAAAATAGCATGTACAGCTGAGAAAATTCAACCAAAATTTACAAGTGAAAATGGTTCTGATAATATTTTCGTGAGGAGAAGCTACCAAAATATGTAACACGAAAGAGAAAAAAGATCTTACCATAAAGCCACCTGTTTCTGTTTGCCACCAAGTGTCAGAAATAGGGCAACTAGACCCTCCAACAACATTAAAAAACCACCTGCAGTAATGGGATCATTTTAGATGAAAAACAGTTTTTTACATATAAAATGAGCTAGGAGACCAAAAAAGAAAGAATTTATAGTTGAGAACCTGCAAGAAGTTGGATTAATAGGCTCACCAACACTTCCAAGGACACGCAGGGACCTCCGAGAGTAGCGAGTGACATACTGCATAGTCAGCAATAGTGATATCAATAAAAAAATAGAAATACATCAAGAGGAACTCCAGTGATTTTCTCCAAACACAAAAGACCAGAAAAATATATCTTTGCAGGGCAAAGAATAGTCTCATAGATCATTAAAACAAGTAAACCTTCATGACAGAATCAAACAAAAATAACTGAATGCTTGCAAAATTTTTCTTTATTAATCCCTCTGATTTTAGCCAGCGATGTTCAATGACAAATCAAAGACAAGTATCTTGAAACCATGGAAATTATGAATGTGAGTGTCAAATATCAACATAAAGGAAGCAAAATAGTAACAAAGAGCATCTCTTTATTCACAAAAAATTCTTATAGACATTATGAACCCAATATAAACAAAATTTGAGAATGAATCTTGCCTCATCACCATCACGCATGAGAGAGCGCACCAATGTAGGGGCAGTGTAGAATATGGTCACCTTGTATTTGTCGACAATGTCCCAACATCGTCCAGGATCAGGGTAATTTGGGGCCTGCATATAACAAGAGATCATGTTGCTATCTACTGAAACATATATAATACATCCAACCAAAATATGTTGTTTAAGTATTATAAGAATCTAACACTTATTAACGGCTTGTAAAACCTAGCCGCTCTCTCGATAAACTCTGAGGAACACCTTATGACTTGTCAAAATCTTCCATATACCATTATGTTTCACCCAATATGTTCTCATTAATCTAGATTAGTTACCAAGATTTTTTTTCTCCCTAGTCCTTAATAATAATCTCAGGTAACCAAAAATTAAAGCTGGATTAGTTGAAAATTTTGGAAGCTTATAATCTCTTTGGTCGTGTCAAAGAGGAATTGTTAATCCTTACCCCCTCAAACACAACAACTGTTGCTCCATTAAGCATGGGTCCATAAGTAACATAACTGTGTCCCGTAATCCAACCACAGTCAGCTGTGCACCTAAATTCAAGGAAAAAGTATGTCAACAAAGACACAAAATCAGCAACATACTAAATGGCAAGAGCTGTAAAATTGTAAGAACATAAGCGTGAAGAATGTCCAAAGTACCAGTAAACATCAGAGTCCTTGTAGTCAAATGCATATTTAAATGTTGTAGCTGCGTACACCATATATCCTCCAGTTGTATGAAGTACGCCCTTTTAAAAGTTCATATTAGAGCATAGGAAAGGAAAATGAGAAACTAAGTAGAATACTTCAACCAAGCAAAATAAATACCTTTGGCTTCCCAGTACTCCCACTGGTATACAACAGAAAAAGGGGATCTTCTGCATCAACCCATTCAACATCACAAGAAGTTGGAAATTTTGGGACAACATCCTAGGAAAAAATAGTATGCAATCATCACTCCACAATAAAATTATGGTTACTAGAAACAGGAAGCACGAAATGCCCAATAAAATTTTCAAATTTTAGACTAACCTCCCACCATACATCTCTTCCTTTCTCCCATTTAGTGCTTTCCCTATTCTGTGCTGATTGGTTTTCATAGGTTAAGCATACATCTGCATAAAGAAGATATCAATATAGATTGACAGCAGGAGTCATAAAATAATAAAATAGTATCACAGGTGATAGTGATCAGACCAAGTCGAGCTAGTTGATCAAAAACAAAGCATAGGGTGCTGGTCGCTAAAAGTTAAGTACTTAGTGACTAGATTACCATCCATCATGCTCAACATGATGCTTAACATCTGGTTATGTTAGGTCAGATTCGTCAGACATGTAAGAATGCAATTAGTCAGCTCAGTCTTAAAATATCAAAAACCAGTTAAACCAACATGTACATCAAAATCGACATTTTCTTGGCTATTAGAACGTTTTGAATGAAATCGAAGGAACAGTAAACCAAGGGAAGACTGTTGCTTCGAAAGTTTGATATAGAAAACAAATTTGAGGTTAAAGATAAGTGCTGCATTGTTTAGCTAATTGTACGATTAAATGGATTTGGCCCACTCTAAATATGCATGAACTGCAACAGAGAAAACTATGCTTAAAATAAAACCATTTTCTTAAATTTTACCAACCTACAGAGATCCTGTTATTGGCGGATTCAATAAGGGCAGCATCAACAATGTCCTTTAGGTGGATGGTCTTAGGGCCTCTTTTAACAGCATTACAAGTAATAACAACTTTTGGTTTACAGTCCACAATTCGTTGGGCTAGAGATTCTGCAGAGAATCCAGCAAAGACGACCTGAAAGGAGAACAGGGGTGGGAATTCATCCAATACAAAGTAATTTCTTATTGTTTAGTATTACAGTTATTTGACATTGTTCATCCTTTTCATGTGCAAGAAAAGGAGTCATATACCGAGTGAACTGCACCAATACGAGCACATGCAAGCATGGTGATAGGGAGTTCCATTAACATAGGCAAATAAACAACAACAGCATCACCCTTTCCAACACCGATACTTTTCAGGTAGTTAGCAAGCTACAGAGAAGACGAACAAAATCAGAAGTGATTCCAATTGATGAAGTCATAAACATACAGCAAATAATACAAAGTTGAAGAGACCTGGCAAACTCGGTGTAGCAATTCGGAGTAAGTTAGAGTGGCATCAAAGCCAGGTTCATTGGATTCCCAATAAATAGCAATTTTGTCTCCAAGTCCGGCATCTATGTTTCTATCTAAGCAATTGTAACACACATTCGTGATACCGCTTTTGAACCACTGGTAAGGAAACAAACAAACAAACAAACAAAGAGGTTACAGTTACAATGACCCAAATGTTGAAATAAACAAGGTAAAAAAAGGTAGAGACAAACAAAGACCTCGATCTTGATATTCCCTTTCCTTGCATCGAGATTCTCGGAGTAAACCTGATCTCCCCATCTCTGTTTCCAGTAAAACTCCGATGATGCAATGCTTGACCAAAATTTAGCAGGGTCCTCTATTGATGATTTGTACATCTCCAGGTACTGATCTCATCACAACCCACAATTTCAAATTGTCCAACAGTCATATAATCAATCAAATTTTTGTTTTTGAAAAAAAATCAATCATAATTCAATTACATAGATCAAGACAAATGACAGAAAGAATAAATACCCATCATTTTGTTTTCATATCACTATTTTTCACCAGTACTAACAATTCAAAAGAAGCCAAAGAATATGAGAAGAAACCTTTTGTGTAGAAGGAACCAGAGCCTGGCGAGAGAATTCATGGCTTGGGACAACGACTTCATCGTCTTCGGAAGCAGGAGCCTCGCCCAAGACGACGGCTTTCAATTGGGAAAGCTTGGCTGCGGCGGCGGAAGGCTGGGGGACCATGGCGTCTACGTGTCTGAAATGAGAGGCGGTGGTTGGGAGATTGTTGGGAGAAACCATCAGAAGAAGCCGTCGTGTGCCGCCGCGGAGGTGATAATGACGCAACCGGTGCTTGAGGGAAGATATTTCACAGCGATCAAGCTGTGGGACTAAGCGGGGAATGATGGGACAGGGGGAAATGCTCATGTTCAGCATTCTATCTTTTTATATTCTTGGTATAATCTAAATCCAAATCCAAATCTTCCTACAGAAATTATGTGAATTTATTACCTGTTTTATTCTACACTTTTGGATTATATATATATATATATATATTATAACACACACATATATATATATATTCTATAAAAAGGTAACCTAGCAAATATGGTAAGTTTTCCATGCATTTAATTTATGGATTATTATAGATAATTACTCTAGTTTATATCATAATGCCCGGACAAAGTGAATTCAGTAGTTAAAAATATGGTTATTATTTTTAGAGGTTTCGAGTTCAAGCATAATGTATGCAGATGCATTTGAACTTATATCGTTAAATGATTAAGAGTATTTCAAACATATATTATCATGTAATCATCATAAACTAATAAAAAATTATATAAAAATATATATTGATTTTGTTTTAATTTAATTGTATATATTCAGTTTTCATTCAATACTATGTCTTGTTATAAAATATATATATGCATGAATCTATGGTCTCACATCTAACGAGATGCATGAATAATAATTTTAATTTAATTTAAATTTTATAAAATTATCAGGAGATTGTTTTCGACGTAGTATTCAGTGACAGACAAAAAAAATTATGTTTGGTATCAACTTTTATAAAGTTATATTAAAATTTTAAGGTGCGAAAGTATGATATTTCAGAATGTATAAAAATTATATCATTAGGAAAAAGATTATTTAAATTATAAGAGAATTTAAAATTTTTATCTTAAAATTTTCAAGAGATGCGATCATCTTCTAACATCCCTTGGTTCATATCTAATAATATCATTCAAGTTTATGTATTGTATAATTCATTTATCTAATATGAAAATGAATGGGTGAACTTATTCTTTTACATATTTGTACAATTAAATTAAATTAAATTAAAATCAAAATTATATGTATATATAAATTAAAATATTATGTGTACGGCTATATCGTATCAAAATTCAAGTGCAAATCTGAAATTGATCTCTTTATAGTTTACTAAAATTAAAATATTGAGTAATTTTGGCAACTTTATTAAGGAAAACCTTTAATGTACTGGTTATTATAGTTTGGAAACTTTGTAACGTAATTTTATTATAACTATAATTGATTTTGGTAACCTATCAAAATCATTTACTATATGGTTCTGGTGACCTAATAACTAAGTAATAATTTTAATATCTATAACTGTATATGAAAGGAAGTTATATGATTAGTGTACTGTTAGGTGAATTGCTCACTTTCAATTTTTATCTTTGAATTTTTAAATTTTATATAAATAAAAAAGAAATATTTTATTATGTAAAATAAGAATTATAGATAGACTATTATTATAATTATCTTTAATATAATAAATAATTATAATATATATTAGATCGAATCATATCGAATTTTTCATCATAAATTCGAACATAATCTGACTCGATCTCATTCTTAAGAAACTTCTACCTAAATTCAATTCTTAAAATAAATCGAATCGAATCGGAACGAAATCCATCAAATTTAAATTAAACAATCATCCCTTATCATGTATGTATGGTTGGATTGTATCCCGGACGCTCCATCATGCCCACGGTTTCCTCAAAGATTTAAAGAAGCAGCGTGCATTAATTAAGAGAGTTCAATTTGGAATTGTAAATCTAAAGTAGGCAACGGGAAATTGTATATTATGAGCCGACAAGTCATGTGTGACTTAAAAGCTAATGACAAAAACCTTGCCCCATGTTTTGATTATCATTCAACTGGAAGGTATTCCAATGGACCGTCACATTTACGTACTCATATTTAATCACCCAAAATAAATAATTATAGGAAAGTGCAAGGACCTAGATTTTAATTCACACTAACCTCAACATCTATGGTATTTGTAAAATTGAAGACATCCTTAGTGACCGATGATGAGCGACGCCGGATAGATCAGAGAAGACGAAGGAAATTGCTAGTTTCGTTAAAAGTAAACACAAAAATTATATACTAACATGATTCGAGGGTAGGGAGGGCAACGAGTCGGGTTTTTGTCAACTCGATCTTACTCAAAAATATGTATCTCCCATCTGAATTTGACTCGACCAAAAAATTATATATACTCTATTTAATCCAATCCAACCCGATTTAATACAAAATAAGGACTTAATTAAAAATAATAATATTTTTTTTAAAAATTACATTATTATCCTTGAGTCAAGTTGGGTTAGAGTTTCTTCACCCTCCGCCCAAACTCGATCTCACCCCTTAGAAATTTTGACCCGACTCGATCCGAACTCATTTTTTAGAAATCAGATCGGGTTAGAACCCATCAATTATGGATTAAATATTAAATCCAAACAACCTAATGAATATTGTTCATTTTGTTGATTATATATATCTTGAAATTTTATTTGTGTTTACTCCATAAGAGAAGTTTCTATTGTTTTTCTTGTATTACTCAATATTCGATTTATTAATCAATTAATTCGAATCGGATATTATAAAGACGAACGCACCTGTCCTAACTCAACTTACTCCATCCATAAATGCCAATAATTAAACATTTAACCTTATTTAAGAGATTTCATGTCTTATCTCACTAAACTAATTGATTTTTAATAAAAAAAATTATTATTAATAAATATATGTTTACTCTCAATAGTTTTTTTTATATAAATATAAGATTAATACAATATAGTATACGTGCAAAAACTCTTAATCAATTGACAATGAAACTCTCTACTAATTAATAATGAACACTTATACATCTGTTGGTGCTTGAACATGAGACTTCTAAAGAAATTATAAATTTTTTAATTATTATTTTTTTATTAAGATAAAGTGATTACAAAGTAGTATATGTTCTAAATACTTTCAACTATTTGATAATAAATGCTCAATAACCCAATTACAGTCGATGGTGCTTGAACCCGTTACCTATAAGAATAATAACAATTTATTTAACTACTGAAATAAATTGATTCGTTCATAAATCTCTTAATTATTGAGATAATTTGTGTCTCAATAATATTTCTCAATTACGGTAAAATCAGTTACCGTATATAGTCTACCAAAGAATCATTAACCTAATATTCCCTGACTAACAAAACACAGTCCAATGAAATCAGTCATTTGCAAAACGTAAAACATTTTTGCAGATAAGTCTGATTCAATTCTGACAACTGCATATAGCCATATGTTTCCCAAAGAAAATATTTGTCGATATTTGCCAGATCTTTGCATCTACCTTGTTGGTTTCTGAAAAAGAAGAACATTCACGACACGGTGGCATGAATATTCTCTAGTCAAGCTTGACGCCATTGTTGCAGCTTATTTACTCTTTTCCTGCAAACCCATTGTCCAGAGCAACAATGAAGGAGATGAAAGCACGTTGTTACTTTCTACTGACCACACTTATCCTTCTACTCATCACATTGATTATTGTGGGCATACTTGTTCACCTTTATTTCCTGATTGAATCAGCTTTCATTTTTGTAGTTGTTTCAGGGGCTTTGATTAACCTATTTTACAAAAAAGGGTCCCAGGAAGTTGAGGAAGATGATCTCGACAACATGCTGGGAATGCCCTCTAGATTCTCCTACGAAGAGTTGAAGAGCATCACCCAGAATTTCAGCAACAAGCTCGGTGAAGGTTGATTCGGGTCCGTTTTTCGAGGAACACTGCCTTCGGGTTCCGATGTGGCGGTGAAGCATCTCCAAGGCTTCGGTCCTGTTAACAAGTCTTTCATAGCCGAAGTCCAGACGATCGGAAACGTCCACCATTTCAACTTGGTAAGTTTGGTTGGATTTTGTGCCGAAAAATTCAACAGGCTTTTAGTTTACGAGCACATGGCGAATTGTTCTCTAGACCGATGGATCTTCAACGTCGACCTTGCTCTTGGTTGGCAAATTAGGAAGAATATCATCTTTGACATAGCCAAAGGACTATCCTACCTTCATCAAGATTGCAACCAGAAGATAATACACTTAGACATCAAACCCGAAAACATCCTATTAGACGATAATTTCAATGCCAAAGTTTCGGATTTCGGGTTATCCACACTGATAAGAAAACACCAGAGTCAACTCATTACAACCATGCGGGGAACCCCTGGCTACATGGCTCCCGAATGGTTGATCTTCGTCATAACCGAGAAAGTCGATGTCTATAGCTTCGGTATCGTCGTCCTCGAGATCCTATGCGGTCGACGGAACATGGATGGATCTCGATTTGGCTTCTCTTCCTTCAGATTCTGGTCCAAGTTATCATTTGTGCCTACACCATAACCATGGGTCAGCGAAGCAATTTCAAGGTGACCCCGTTGCTCAAGTCCCCGCATCTCTACTTCCCGGTTTTTTTGCTAAATGTGCCTTTTCTTACAAGAAGAATGTTAACATTTGGAGTAGCCAAGCTCAGAAACTCAAGATGGTTCAACCTTATGACATTTTCCTTTCAGATCCCCACGTTTCAGCATCGAGAACCATCGGTAAGATTTAACAAAATGTAACCCGAAGACTCCCTGAACTTTTTGTAACCTAGATTAGATTTTTAGTTTATTATAATTCATGTTTTAAATATGGTATTGACATCTTGTTCCAGCACTATATTTGCTGTTCAGTTCATGAATGGTTCCATAGTTATGACTGCAGCTCTTGTGAAAATAATAAAAATATCATTGTTTTATATGCACAGGTGCATCTTTGAGTGCGAATTTTGGGGAAAATTCAGCCAGATTAATTGAGGAAGCTAAAGATATTAAGCGGTTATCATTGCATCATCCAACTCTAAAATCTTCCCTTCTAGGGGATATATTTGCATCCATGTCATTTACAGCCCAGCATGGGAACTTCCAACGGCTATTGTCTGATCTTACAAGATTTCAGGCTCGCATGGATTTCCCCTCTGGTTCTAAATTCCTTTCAGGTGCCACACAAGTAGCTCAGTATCTTTTGAATTCGCTCCAGCCTAGTTCTGAAGCAATTAAAATGATCTTCCCAAGTACCACCCTTTCACTTCAGCAGCAGGTATTTCTTTGGAAATAATTCTTGTCATACAGATTTAGGATGTTAAAAAGAATGGCAGCTGAAGCCAAGGTAGTATCTTTATGCTATTTTTGTGATAACGCTTTGACTTTCATGCATAGCTTGGAAAGTTGGAATAGGGATGTAAATGAGCCACTTGTACAATTGTGCTCAATTGCTCATAAGCTATCCAAGCCCCAGGTCAAGCTATCAAGCTAACCGAGTTTGAGTATCTTAATACTCCATTCGAGCAACTCGCAAGCCTAATGGAGCTTTTTATTTGTAATTGTTTCTTTAATATTTTGATATTAAAAAATAGTAGATAGAACGTGCTTGAACTTGAGTTTGAGTATATAACTTGTGCAAACGAGCTTAATCGTGCCACGTTTAAATAGCTTGATTTTATTTCAAGCGGATCTTGAGCTTTAGAAATCAGTATTGGATTTGCTTGAGCCGAGTTCTGAGCAGCAAGTTTCATTATTCGTTATTTCCATTACAGATTGCCGGACCTTTCAGTTTTAGAGTTGATTCGGGAGTCTTGATTGATTTCGAGGACAAAAGTTGGCATATACAGGCAGGCCAGCCTGTGTTTGCAATCGAATATGCATTGCACGTCCCTTTTTCCGCAAAGGCTGTTGCTTGGTACTCCCCAAAGCATCAAGAATTTATGGTAGAGCTTCGTTTCTTCGAGACATAAATTACATTGGTGTATCTTCTACTTCCTTTGTTCAATTCAAGGATACTCCTCACCTTTGCACATGTTGTACTTTTGGCGATTATTTAAGAAGCAAAGCTATTCAAGTAGGAAAGTGAAACATTGAATTTGATATGAAAATAACCCTTCTTTTCCATTCTTATTTAATATGATGATGTATTAAACATTGATTAAATAAGATGATGCCATTAGGGTTTTTTTTCATGGATCAAATTACTTATTCGTCAATTAGAGAACAAAGTTAAACTCAATTCAATTAATTTTGTTTCTTTTTAATGTTTGAATGATTATCCAATATTTCTCTCATGTCTATGTTATTTATCATATGTGACATCCCCTATTCTTTATAAGAGAAATTTAGATTTCAATATTTTATTTTAGGATAAAAAATATTTTAACGTTTGACAATTAATAAAACTCAATATAATTACTTACAGATTTTATTTTAGAATAGAAGTAATAGTTTGAGCCTATATTCTTCTATGAAATTTGTTTTTTTAAGTTGTATTTTAGTTTAAGAAATTGTGGCATGAATTACACAAAAGGTAAAAAGTGAAAATGTCACGTGTCAAAGCTTTACCTCCACAACCATGTCACGACGAAGCCGTGAGTGAGTGGCGGTGGTGGCGGCGGTGGAAAGGAAGCAAAACGATTGATGAACAATAATAGTGACATCATTGGCTGCGATAGATTTGTAATGTAATGAGATTCGGTATGGACACTTGTATGATATTTGGTGGTGTTTAATATGTGGGAAATTGTGAGCCTTAAGTAGCACATGAAAAAAATTTAAAAGTAAAACACAAGCTATACTTTATAATTAAATTAAACAAATATATTAGTTTCATTATAAAACTTAAAGTTAAATAGTAATAGTCGAATTTAAAATAATAAATAAATTAAAATTTTTAAATGATTTATAAGTTTGAACCTATAAATCGATTTTAATAGTTAAAATGATTGTTGATTTTTTTTAGAAATTTTATATTCAAACAATTGTATATGTAATGTGTTGTCAATACTTAAAAAATTCCTAACAAATATTATTTTATAATTACCTTAGACTATTAAAATAAATAAATAAATAAATTTATAAGTTCAAATTTAAATTATATAGAAATTACATATATTCAATCTACTAGTGTAGAATGATTATATTGTCTAAACTACTATATATACATACACTACACGCATTAATTATCCCAAAAAGTTTACGCATTAAACTTGATAAGACTTGCACTCTATGCCTTTTCATTGCATTAATTACTCCACAACTGGCTAAATTATTTTGGAATAAATTAACTTTAGTATCTGAATTTGATAATATTTTCTAATCTAGTCTTTAATTTTTTCCAAATTAGTCCCTTAATTTGTACTTTTGACCATTTTAATAATGTAATAATCGAAAATGGTAAAGATATTAATTATTAGACTAATTCATCATTATAGCGCAGGGACCAAAACCAAAATTAGACCACTTTGTTTTTCTTAAATGGAAAGTTAATCTCAACCTCAAATTAAACAACATTAGGATTAGGATAATCTAATAAATCTGAAGATGAGGGTATAATATATATATAACTAAAATGGTATTCGAGATCAAGCCTGAAATTCGTGTTGTTAGGATTTGACATCAAACCTTTTAATTTATGATCTACTATTAAATTTTTGGGTAAACTATGTATTTAGTCACTAAACTATCATTTTTCTTTATTTGTGGTCACTAACTATTATTTTTTACAAAATAATACATAAAGTTACATTTTGATTATGTTTTAGTCACCCGTCATTAAAAATAAACTATAATATTAATGTGTCATCATAAGATAATGTCACATCATTATAGAAAAAAAATGTCACATCAATAGTTCTGCTTATTTTTTAACTTCAGATGATCAAAACGTAACGTTATGTATGATTTTAAAAAAATAATTGGATAATTAAATAGAACCAAATGATAGTTAGGGACTAAATACATAATTTACCCTAAATCTTGTATTATTCTATTCATCTAATTGGGACTACACATAATTTTACGTAAGAGAGTATGTACTTGATTAGGAAGTTAAGAGATAAATTACAAAATCTTATAAGTACGAATTAAATCATCAATGGAAAAAATATAAATAATAACTAGTATATATATAAATTTGAAAATTTTAAATATTCCACGTATTCCGAATCCATTATACTTATATATATATATATATACACACACACACACAAAACGTATATATTGTTACCTTGTTATCTATGTGGTGATTGAGATTAAGAGATGAATAAGGTGAAGGAGCGAATGAGCAGCAGCAAGAGAATAACAAGAGAGGAGGAGGTGAAGAAAGGGATTGTGAAGCTGGGGAATTACGAGTTAGGGAGAACAGTAGGAGAAGGGAACTTCGCCAAAGTTAAATTGGCTAAGAATCTCCATTCATCTCTCCCCTTTGCTGTTAAGATCATCGACAAATACAGGCTCATTCAACTCAACATCACCGATCAGGTCTCCCCCTTATTCATTTCAAATTCTCCTTATATAGACCTACTCTTCTCTTCAATGGGTTCTCCATTTCTTTACTCGTTTTTTTTTTTTTTTGCAGATAAAGGAGAAATCTCCACCTTGAAGCTGCTCAGGCACCCCAATGTGATTCGTTTACATGAGGTATTGTTTTAGTGTTTAATCATGCTGCAAGTCCCTCTACCAGTAGACTAACTTGCTGTGATTAGAGTAGAGGGACTGAATTTTGTATGTCTTGAGAGTAGAGGCACTACGCGGAAATTAGACCTATTATTGTTACTATTGTGTTTTCATTGCTTTATTTTAGACTAAATTACGTATCGAGTCACCCAACTAATCTGGTGATTCCGTTTTAGTTACTTCACTATATTTTTTAAAATCATACCTAGCGTGTTTTGGTTTTGTTTTGATTGCTTGTAGTTAAAAATAAACAAAATTGTTGATGCATCACCTTTAAGGTAATATCATGTCATCATTCAAAAAAAATTTAAAAATTACGAATCGCATTCTATTTTTTCGGAAGATACCAAAACACAACATTAGGTATGATTTTGAAAAAAATATTTGAGTGACCAAAATGGAACTGTGGGAATAAGTGAGTGACTAAATATGTAATTTACCCTTTTTGTATTATCCACTGTACTAATGCTTTAAGCATAGTACTGATGCTTAATTATCTGGATAATCATGATAAAGATTTAAACTTGAAAGATACAATATATCTAGGAAAGGAAAATTTATGTCGATCCGGTTTTCGTTTTTTGTACTTTCGGAATTTGTTCCCTCCACTTTTACTTACAAGAATCGAGTTACTCGACTTCGGTTAAATTTGAATATCTGTTATGAATTAGACTAGACTCTGTTTTTAAAGTAGACAAGAAGAGGGATTCAATTTCTTAACTTAATATAGGATTAAATTTCAAAAGTCGAAAGACAGGGACTGCATGCACAATTGTACCAGAAAGGTATGGTTCAAAAGTTCTCACACCAGTTGGCACCACTCACCCCTTAGATTTTTTCATATCCATCCATCCATCCATCCATCCATCCATATCTGTGTGTCTATGTATATACATGTCTGGAATTATTATGCTTCTGAACGTGAAGTAGGTGTGTCACAGTGAATTGGGACCATAAATCTGGTTTGGTGTTATTCATGAGTATGGGGGCCATTTATGGCTAATGTTGGCCTGGCCTTGCCCTTTCACTCTTTGTGCTCCATGGCCGCATCAATTGAGTCCCACGTGCCACTGCTCGATTTCACGTGATATCGGGAACGGAAACTGAGAATTGAGGTGTTTTCTCCGAGAAAAATTAAAGAACAAAAACCGAAAACAACAAGAGACGAGATTTTAGTGCAAATGGAGTAGCTGAACTTGATATTGAGTTGTATCCCCTGATAACTACTATGAACTCCTGAATGTGCCTGGCCAGCTTTAAGCTTCGAGTTTTCGGTTAATTCATCACTGTCCTCTGTATTCTTAGGGAATGAGACTTGAGACTTGAGATTAGCAAATTAAAGGTGATTCAAGTATGAAGAATGTGGTCTGATCGTCGGAGTTTTAGCTTTTCACCGTGTGTGTGTTGTGTGTGCATGCTTACCTCTAGCTAAGTTGACATTCGGCTAATGACTTTACTGATTCCTTTACTTTAAACTTGCAGGTCTTGGCAAGCAAAACAAAAATTTACATGGTCCTAGAATATGCAACCGGAGGGGAATTGTTTGACAAAATCGTAAGTGACTCAAATTTACGGGGGTTTCTTCTTCAATAACATTAAATTTAGTTGCATTCTTTAGCTTCTTCTGGTATCACAGGCCTCCAAAGGGAAGCTGAAGGAAGCTGAAGGAAGGAAGTTCTTCCAGCAACTAATCGACGCTGTCGGTTACTGCCATGACCAAGGTGTTTTCCACAGGGATCTCAAGGTCATTTCCACGTCTTTCGACATGTTAAAGCAAAAATCAAACATGATATATGAATTTCATGAAGTTAATCTGCTAAAATCTGTTCTTTCTATGTTTCAGCTCGAAAATTTCGATGCAAATGGTAACATAAAGATATCTGATTTTGGCCTCAGTGCATTGCCTCGACATATTCGGGTAAAGTACTCCTTTAGACAATAAATTCATGAAAAAAAACGATTTTGTTCTGGTTTTGAATTTTATTCGAAATATCAGGAGGATGGCTTACTGCATACAACATGTGGAAGTCCTAACTATGTTGCACCAGAGATTCTTGCTAATAGAGGGTATAATGGTGCCTCCTCAGACATGGGTCATGCGGCGTCATCTTATACGTCATTCTCACTGGATATCTCCCTTTCGATGATCGGAATCTTGCTGTTCTCTATCAGAAGGTATTCAAGGGCCATAATTGGTGAATACTATGTCATTGTCTACTTCGATATCTAATCCTCTCTATTGAAATTTCAGATTTGCAAAGGGGATACTCAGATTCCTAAATGGTTGTCA